AAACCATGAACAAAACGAAATGGCAACCTACAGAATGGGAGAAGATATTTGTAACTGGCATATCTGATAACGAGTCAGTATCCAAAATAGAGGAAAAATGTATAAACCTCAACACCCAAAACCCCCCAAATAACCCAATTTGAAACATGAGTAGAAGACATGAATGGACATCTTTGTAAAGAAGACCTCCAAATTGCCAACAGACACATGAAAAGATGCTGAACATCACTTGTTATTAGGGTAATACAAAACTACAATGAGACATAACTTCACACCTGTAAGAATTGCTAATATCCATGCCTTTAAATAACGTTTGAAAAAGAAGTTTTGCAAGGGAGCTGAGATTTTTTGTTACCATGGGACTGATACGTCATTCTTTGTCTTTGTTTGTATAAATTGTTCCAAATAGCTTTAATTATTTATTTTTATATTTAATTTTTTATTAAAAATGAAGTTTTATTTAATCCCTTATCTAAATATTTTTAAACGTTTATTTATTTTTGAAAGACAGAGAGACAGAGCATGAGCAGGGGAGGGGCAGAGAGAGAGGGAGACACAGAATCTGAAGCAGGCTCCAGGCTCTGAGCTGTCAGCACAGAGCTCAGGTGCAGAGCTTGAACTCAGGAACCGTGAGATCATGTCCAGAGCCGAAGTCGGCCACTTAATCAACTGAGCCACTCAGGCTCCCCAAACAATTATTTATTTTTGGGAGAGAAAGCATGAGCAGAGGGAGGGCAGAGAGAGGGAGACACAGAAGCAGAAGCAGGCTCCAGGCTCTGAGCTGTCAGCACAGAGCCTGGCCCAGGGCATCATGGACACCATCAGGTTTCCTGGCACACATTTTCAGATGTATTTACTTTGAGGAAGAGTAAGGGCTCTAACTTAGAAGTGAGTCCCGAAATCTACTGCTTATCAGAGTCAAATGTAAGCTTGGGTACACTCTGACACCCCTTTTTGGGAAGACTAAATGAAGTTATAAATGTAAGGAACCCTGGAGAAAGCAGTTGCTAACATAGAGTATACATGCTATCAATAGAGGAGTTGTTATACTAACTTATTCTCTAAAAACTCAATAAATGGAGGTATTGTCCTAAGTGCACACACCTAGTGGAAGGCCAGCTATTCACAATGATAGAGCACAGATCAAAGTATCTAGTTAATAGGTCCGTGACTTTTAACTTTCTGGGTACAAAAGATGAATGACACCATAGAAACTGCAGCAGGTAGCTGTCAGAGTGATGGCATCAGTATAGACTACTTGCAGGGAAGCTGGGCACCTCACCCAATTTGAAATGATGGGGACCTGGAGGTTCCCTGCCATTTCTGCAGGGTCCAGTTCCCAAGAAAGAGGTGCAGTCCAGACACAGCTCAACACGGGAAAGTCTAGTCCTATGTCACTCACAGCCTTTCAGAGTCTTCAGTTCCAGAGAAAAGAAAAAGAGATTCTACATACCAATTCATTCTATGAAGCCAGTATATCCTTGATAGTAAAATCCAAGAGAGTATATGAACTAAATGTAGACGCTAATATCACTCATGAAGATAGTAATAAAAATTCTAACCCAACTAATATGATGTAGATTATTCACAAAGATAATGTATCATGAACATTCCCTGCCAGGAGTGTATGGTTTATTTAAACATAGGAATGTATGTATGAAATTCATTGCATTATCACATTAATGGCAGAAAAATCCTACGATCATCTGAATCAATGTACTACACGTGTTTGATGAGAGGCAACATATATTCAACATAAATAGTGTAGTACACCAAACTGAGAATGGAACTTCCTTAAAGTCACAGTAAATATAGTCAAATGTTCAAAATTGTCTAACTCCCATCAGAAATAAGAGAGGGATGTCTATCATCAGGTCCTTCCAGCACTGTCCTGGGTGGGTCTGTCAATATTGTAAAGTGAGAAAACAAAGAGGGGAGATAATGATTAAAACAGCAGAAAGAAACTGTTAGTATTCAACGATCATACAACTGCATCTGTAGAAACTCATAATGGATGCTGACGTACACCTCTGGCATTCAGTCGTATGTAGCAAGGCTGCTGGAGAGAGTGTCCATGTACAGAGCTATCTGCACTTACCAGCTGAATCAGAATATAACATTTCAAAAAACGACACAATTGTTAACAGCACCTAGTACTTAGAGTAAGTCTAACAAAGGACTGAAAGAGTCTGTGGAGAAAGGTGTAAGATGTTATTGAGTGATTTTTAACACTGAAGTAACTTTCCTATATGAGAGCATATACTTTACCAAGATTTCTTGAACACTCCACACTTACTATTGATACAAGAAGGGAAAAAGACACTTCAGGTCAGAACAGATGAAACGAAATGAACCTATTAAAAGGTAGTTTTATTTTTTATTTTTAAATTTAGATTTCAGTTACTGAACCTGAAACCAGGTTTCAGGAGTCGAATCTAGGGATTCATCACTTACAGAGAACACCCATGCACTCTCCCTAACTGATGTGCCGCAGAAACTAGAAACTAAACCATCTCTTGCCATTTTATTACTCAGTCATTTGAGCCTTCATTGGGGAAAGGTTTCAAATTGCACGTGTTTTGTAAGAGCCACAATGATGTAGAATTTGACAAAATTTAAGAAAAGGTATCAACGTCTTCAAAGAGAAAAACCCACAACAGTAAGGTTTCTTGTTTTCAGCGACACAAAAATCTCAATTCAGATGTTAAAATTTGATCAAAGATGCTATCTGATGATAATTAAATCAAACAAAATGGACGATTTTTGTATTCCATGTATGTTATCCAAGAGAACCACAGAATACAAAAAAATGAATGCAATATATCCTATTTGAAATCACTAAGTACATGCGTCAAGATGGGTTCAGAAGTCAAGGGATTCTCTCAGAGTCACACAACTTATGTTAGAGCTGGTACTGGATGCTACTCCAGTGCCTCACCATATTTCATGCAACTGGTATTTACTCCAAATGCATTCTGTGCTTCATAAAACAGGGAATTACAGAAGATTCTGAATTTAATCACCTATCAGTTAAAGTATTTACTGTTTATTCTATTTAAAAGGTTATTTACATATTTTGAGAGAGAGAAGGAGAGAGAGAGAGAGAGAAAGCGAGAGCACAAATGGGAGAGGGACAGAGAGAGAGGAAGAGAGAGAGTCCCAAGCAGGCTCCATGCTGTCAGCGCAGAGTCGAAAATGCGGCTCGTTCTCACACACTGTGAGATCATGACCTGAGCCATATCAAGAGTCACATGCTTCACTGACTGAGCCACCCTGGTGCCCCAGTATTTACACTTTATCAAAAAGGAAATGCTTTCCTATTTCATAATTTAATAAGGCTTTGACCCAATTTAATTCTGTATCTCATAGGGTGTGAGTCAGGCAGTCAGGAAGTTAGGGTCTGAACTACTTGTGAAAGTACCTTTCTGTGTAAAGTCTGTTATTAAAGTATCTATCGGTGAAGGTACATCTACATAATGAAAACTATAATATTCAGGAAAAGATCCACATACTTCGCATTCCCAATGGATACCATACCTGCTTCAGGCATTTGCATGGGCTCCACATTTGGGAAATCTGCCCCCTTCACATCAGTGTCATCTTCACTAATATCCTCATTCTTTGGCAGAGGGAATTTCTGGATACCAGCTTCCAGTTCCGGTGCTTCAAAGACAAAGATTATCACTTGAAAGGGTGAACTTAAAATCTAAGGAACAAGATGATAATATTTATTGTTGCGGATGAAATAACACAAAGGACAAGACACACACAAAAGACAGACACAGACACAACTCCGGCGGGAGGAACAATTCTACCCAAGCCCCTCTTGCGGTTTATTTTATACCCGGTAACTGGATACAAACTGAAATCTACAAGATGCATTCCTTTACCAATTAAGGGCAAGTAGCCAAACACATTTCAAGGACAGGGGGGAGCAAAGGGAGGAAGCGACCACAACATGTTTACTAAGAGGCCTGCTCACAATTCCAGCCTCCTCCCTATTTCTAAGGAGGGCATGTTCCCTCGTTTGCGAGCGGACCATTAAACTTGGATATTGTGTGCAGGCCTCCTAGCAGAGCAACCTGTTTGCAGGCATGCATTACCCAGGCAGGGAGCCCCGTGTGCAGGCACATCCCCGCGTCCCTAACCACGCTTTCTTGGGGTCACTGTCGGGCTCCCACATTTATTGTTTCCATTATATGAAATACAAGCCTGTAGACTTCATGTAATCAAAAAAGTAATGATGGCAAGAGGACTTCACATCTTTGTTTTTCTGCATTATGAAACCTTATTTCAAATAGCAATCTAAGAAGAAACCACACTGAATCTATACTGGCATTATATTACCACAGTGTACTGAGAGTAGAGAGTTTCAGCAAAGAAATCTTAAATTAACACCATGGACAGGATTTTATAAAGATTATTTATTTATTTTGAGAGACAGAGAAAGAGTGAGCCAACAGGGTAGGGGCTGGGAGGAAGGATGGAGGGGAGAGCTAGGGGAAGGCGATGAGAGAGGGAGAGGGAGAGAGAGAGATAAAGAGAGAGAGAGAGAGAGAATCACAAACACGTCTGCATTGCCAGTGCAGAGTCCTACACGTAGCTCAATCACAAACTGTGAGCCCAAATCCAGACCTGAGCCCATAGCCAGAGTCAGACACTTAAGTCCCTGAGCCACCGAGAGCCTGCACGTTGGATACGATTTTAATGAAAATTAAAATTTAATTTCTTGAAGCATGAACTGAGTGCATTTGTGGGCCTAGGACAAATCCAAAACTAGTGAGATTCATTCCTTATTGTGGCAACCTGAAAGTTCTTTTGTGAAAATTAACCAGTTAGATTTTGTTGCCAAGTCTGTCTCTATAACTTATGATAAATGAGTCATGTAGATGACAAAATATCAAAAATGACAGAAAAACATGAGTGAATCATAGTCAAACTTCAATCTTAACAGGGAGAATAAAGGGAGCAGACTGGAAAGAAAGCCAAGAGACTTTGTCATCAATCCTATTGTAGAAACCTCTTCCCAGCAAATCCCTAAAATAATCCATGGCCTGAATGACGCCCATAGATCACTACAAGTATTTGAGGAAAATGCTGCATTGGAAGCTGTTAATTTCCATTTCATGATCATTTTAAGATTCTTTTGATTTTCCTAATCAGAAAAGTATTTAAACACCCCGTAAAGCCGCTTACAAACCACACTACTATAGTTTACCTATATGCCAGTTACCTGAATTATCCAGCTTTTCCCAAATATACCATATCAAATGATTAAGCAAAGGAAACAGTGGCTATCATTCCTTGAGCCTTTTTCTGGAGTCGATCTCCTGCTCCACTGAACTTCAATTATCCTGTGGCTGTACTTAGCTAATTTTAAGGTACACATTTTTTAGTATTACGCATTTTGTACAAACCATTCACGTTTTGGTATAAAAACTCAGATGGTAGGAAGTAAAAAAAGAACAAACATGAAATGAAATTTAATTAGGTCTCCATGTGTCAGACTTTAGCAAGCCACAGTCCCTGAACCTTAGTTTTCTTATTTCTAAAACGAGGCCACCATCCCTATGCAAATCATCTTTATTCCAGATGTTATAAGATATGCTGACTTGGCTCTCTGCACATACTATTAAAAATTGCTTACACTTTTGATGCACTGAAGAAAAAGGCCACCCAAAAATGTCCTGAGAAGAACACACTAAACTCATGAAGAAATGTATACTTTAGTAGTCAACAGTTTCCTCTGATTTAGGAAGGCCTGCATTGGAAGAACGAGGGCAAATTCAGTAGAGTGAACAGAGCTGCAAATTATACTCTATTCACATTCTCAAAGAGTTTTCAGGAAATGACAGAGATTCTCTTCTAATGAATTGTTTCGACTTGTTATATCATAATGCATGATGCAAATATGTACCCTGTCTTCCAGTAAGCATTCATTCCCCCTTTACCTTCACCATGATCCATAGGCGCTTCTGCAACTGCTTTGTCTTTATCAGGAACAATATCCTGACTCTCAGGGGTTGCCTCCTTTTGTTGAGGTTGCTCATTACTCGGCTGCTTTACCTAGAGAGGGTGTGTGTGTCCAAATAAAAATTGCATTGTTAATACATACCAATAATGTAAACATACACTACACATTTTACATCAAATAATAAGTATAAAAACACTTATAACACATGATTGTATATATTTATTCGTAAAATGAAGATGGCTGTGTATACATATAATGGAATATTACTCCGTCATGAAAAAGAATAAAATCTTGCCATTTGCAACGATGTGGACAGGGCTTAGAATGTATTCTGCTGAGTGAAAGAAGTCAATGAGAGAAGAACAATCACCGTATGATTTCACTCATCTGTGGAATTTAAGAAAAAAACAGAGGAACACATGGGGAGACAAGGAAACATAAGAGGAGAGAGGGAAACAACTCACAAGAGACTCTTAACTGTAGAGAACAAAGTGAGGGCTGATGGAGGTAGGTGGGTGGAGGATGGCATAAATTGATGGGTGATGGGCGAGAAAGACGGCACTGCTGATGAGCACTGGGTGTTGTATGAAAGTCATACATCAATAGAGTCTACTCCTGAAAACCAATATTGCACTGGACGGTAAGTAACATTTAAATTTTAAAAAAAGTTACTCTTCCCACAGCCTGGCTACTCCAGAAGAGGTACCCACAAGCACTTTGGAGGTTATTTTACACTCTGCTGGGACAGATATGTATAACCTGTTGATAATAAGCATAACAAAGGAGTCATAGGGTACATTTCCACAGGCAATACAAGGATGGACGCCTTCTGGTTCAACGTTTCCTGCTCCTTATCAGCAGAGAAACGTGTATCACTGTACCTGTATATTTGCAGTTCAACAATATTTTCAGAAAAATAAACTGATGGTATTTCTTAGAAAACATCAAATACCGAAGTACTCACAGCCACAGGTGCAGCCGGCTGCTTAGCCTCTCGATTACCGTTTCTTTGTTTAGACTTAGATCTTGCTCTCACTCGCCCACTCATATTTCACCCTGAAAGTAGGATATCAGTATTTGGAAAATGTACTCTCAAGGCTAGGTATACCACTTCCAAGGCGAAACGTTTTCATTTGTTTTTACTTTGAAAATACTTTCAAAATCAACCTTGCATTAAGGATGCTGTACATGTTGTGGTTGCTCCAATTAAATGGCCAAATCAATGTAAAAGATCATTTACATCAGCCAAACTGGCAATCAAATCACCTTAAGGACAGGATCAAGCATGAAGCTTACTTCCACAGCTAGATTCCCTGTCATAAAGGCACGTGAGAAAACAGTGCTGGAAATTTAAACCCGAGGCACTATTGCTTTGCACATTCCCATTTGCTCGGCCCATTTTACACCCTTGAAAAAGGTTTTCTTGGAACACAGAGGTCTTAATATTTGCGTACTGCCGGTGGCTGTCTTCCCAAACCCAGGGGTCACGTGTCTAGTTTCGAAACTGATCCTTGGGCAGCTCCTCCCTTGCCACCAGGCACAGTGCGATACAAATCTCGGGGACACAGTTCCAACCCCGCTGAGGTCCCCGTTTCCAGCCCACCCCCCCTTTTTAAAGTAGACGTCACGCCCATCCCGGAGGCCAGGCGGGGCTTGAACTCACCACCCCGAGATCAGACCTGCGCTGAGACCCGCGTCGGCCCTTTCCAACTGGCCCACCCAGGCGCCCCTTCCACACCTGTTCTCTACTGCCTGGCCCGCCTCGCACCCAGGGTCCCCCTGATGACACCTCGGAGGCCACAGACCTACCACTCAGAACCGCCCGAGCGCCACTGCCACGATCCTCAGAGTCACTCACACTTCAAGTCCCGGAAGGACGAATTCGTGGGCCTCCAGCTGAGTTCCGGTAGCGAGAAGGATTAGAGAAGAGCGAACACGACCACCAGCGCCTCAGCTCCACTCACGGAAGGTGGGCAGCACGGCGCATGCCCAGTTCGGCTGCCGAACGCAGGCCGGAAGGCGCGCGCCCAGCCACCGGCCTTCCTAGCAACGGGCATGCGCACAGGGTTGGGCACCTGCAGGGAAGTGTGAGATTGTCAGGCCTGGGAGGCTGAGGCGTCCAGGCACGCGATCTGCCGAGGAAAAGGAAAGGGCTCGAAGAGTCTGCTTTTAGACCTCACCCATCCCACATCTGGACCCAGAGTCTTTAGGGACACACAGCCCCAGGTACCTTTAGAGGAATATAGGGCTCAGAAAGACGCTGAGACAGAAATACCTGTTAAGTATTAGAATCCTATTTTTATACCTGTTTTGATTAATCAGTTCCTCCTTTGCTTTAATTTTCTGTCATCCTTGAATCCATTTGCTTATTCTTATAGAATCAATATATTAACACGTGTTTACTTTTTGGTTCAACTAATATCTTCTTTTCTATAGATTGATTATTTCTTTTAATTCAAGGTAGCTAACGTCTAGTGTAGTGTCGGTACCAGGAGTAGAACCCAGTAATTCAGCACTTACATACAACACCCAGTGATCCTCGGAACAAGTGCTCTCTCATTGATGCCCATCACCCATTTAGCCCGTCCCATCACCCCCCTCCTTTCTAACAATCCCCACTTTTGTTCCCTGATTGAAGTGTCTCTTATGCTTTG